CCCCTCGCTTGCTGTTCGTTGGCTGTGCCGTACTGCCACTGCTGCTGCCTGTCCTACGATACCCTCCTCCTCAACCCTCTTTTCTCCCAGCTCCTACAGACGCTCTGTCTACCCCGTTCTCGGTCGCGCACCGAGGAAACCGAGAAGGAAAGCGGCGAGAGTGAAAATGCTGCATCGAAACGGTGGTAAAGAATTGGTGAGTTAGAGTCAGTTGCGTCGATCAACGATGTAAGGTGAAATGGGGAAGGTTAGGGGATAGGCGATAGGCAACGAGATTTTGAAGATTTTTTATATGATTGGTGGGTTTTCTGCGAACGATGTTAGAGTTAATTATAAAAACTGACGTAGATAGAATGGAGACTAAAGGAGAAGAATACGAGAAACAAATTTCCAATTTTTTACAAAGAAGCTGTTTTAAAATTCAATATATCGTCGATCAATCCTGTTTTATCAAAATTGTTTTCGTTTGGTTTCGGAGCTAAACACGCGTTTCTTCGCCATATCCAACATTTTGAAAATATGTCGATGCAAATTCGTATATTGTTGAACTCAATTCAAGAGATGAAATGTTTCTTTTACCATGCAAATATAACAATGAATACTTCAGCTTGAATATTTGGTACACTTTTCCATATTTAGTTTTCTATATACGAAAAGGTCAGTGTAAATAAACTCAACCTTCCTGATTCGCCTCGCTATCGCTATCATAATCAAAACCATCCCCCTTTAGGATAGACGTAACCGAGAAATATGGAAAACAAGATCAAACAACTTTTTACATATTGCAATAATTATCAAAAGGTATATAACATGGACCAATTTATCCAACAATAATCGGTCACATCGACGACCAATATTCAGTTACACGGGTCACGAGAAGACCGTCACGAGGGCATCGAGAAAGTCCGTCGATCGTTGGCAGCACAATGACATTTATGACGAATCGTTACACTAACGACATTCGCTAGGCCACCAGAGGACAATCGTGACTAATTGTTATTGTTTCTTGTTGCGGCAGCCGCGAGCGCAACTACCGCGCGGCTTATGTCCACCGATATGATATAACGCGTTGTTTATCGCACGGTTGGAAGTGGTGTGTGGTCACACCCTCTCCCTGCTAGCTCTGGCGGTGTGCTATTTTCCCTGTATGATGGTGGTGGTAGAGGGCTCCAAGCGAATTGTAAAGATTACGCCCGATGTTTATGCATTTATGCTGAATTATTGTCGGCGGGGCTTTACCGATGTTTATGCTGATTTACGCTTTGTGCTATCTGCCGGGACACATTGTCCCGGAATTATTATTCCGCTGCGTCACTCTCGCCGCGAGGAACCGAAATTTCGGATTTCGTTCGCGAGTTGGAAAATTCTCCACCGTTATACACCTCGTGGTTCGTTTTCGACCACGCCGATACGAACCATCGGTTTTGCCAATGTGCAGCCTGACTTCCCTCGTTATTCCTATCGTTCGATCCCGAGAATCGATGATACACTCGAAATATAGAAAATATAGAAATATGACGACACTTGTCTTGCAAAAATAAGATGAATTTGGATATATTTCCAATATTGTATTAATATATCATTGAATTGGAAAGTTAAAAATTTCATCATTTTATTTATTTCCTTTATTACAATCATTTTATTCGTCTATTTAGTAAAGAAATGCTAGGAGAGGAAGATCGATGTCGAAGTTGTGTAAAATGTCCTGATAAATTCATCACATACTACAGTACCTAAAGATTTATATATTCGTAGATTTAAAACAAATATTTTACATAGTATATAAATGATATGAGATTAATTTTCTACCAAGCTTATATTTACAGTAAATCTATATAACTGATACATATATCTGCGTTTCTAGATTCCTTTAAAATTTTACCATGACAGTCGTATCTCATCATGGTATTCATGATATTTCAAAATATTTTATATAACACACACAATATATTCATAATAGGCTATATGTGTTCAAATATTTTCACCAGACACTGTATAGAAAATAGAATATATCGATGCTGAAAAGTACTAAAAACCCCTGGCGAGATGGTCGAAGTAATTCGAGTGGTTGTGATTGTGCGCGCGTTTTCCGGCAGGATTCCCCAACGCGAAACTCTAGGCACGTAAAAAAGAGTTCCCGCCCGTGAAACACCTATCTCGCTCGCTTTCTTTTATCTCCGTGAGGCGAAGCATAAATAAGGACTGCGTTTGTGCGCCTCTTGGGTACATAATGGAGTATTATGTGACGGAGATACCACGGGGTTCTGACTCTTCCCTTCCTCCCCTCACTTTTACCAGCCTGTCGACACAAACGTGGCGTCGACTGCGCCTTCAGCCGGGGTGTGTGTACAAGATATTAGCTGCAAATACCCATGGTGTCCCGTATCGTGTTCTAGTACCACGATAATACGTTCCTTTGTACGGATAACGGTGTCGAGAGCAAAGTTTACCGAATTCTCGAGTGTCTCATCTCGTCTCGCGCGATTCTTCCAGCGATAACGCGACACCTTGGATTATCGAAGATTGATAGAGGGCAACATCATTGTTTAAAACTGTACAGACTGATTTTTCTTGGTAAACTTGGAAAATAATCTGTATTTTATCGAGATACGATGCACTTACTTAAATTATTTATATATATTTTTAAATATACATTGGAAAAATATTTGTCGAAAGTGCTTTTGCTCAAATTAATATCGACTTCGATTAATTAAATCTACGTTGTTTGAACGAATGTTTCTGTTACGTTCTAAACGCGTTTCTTCGTTATGAAAGATTCGTGAAAATTCCTAGAATCTTGCAAGCGTTTTCGTTCAACCAGCGGTGCCAGAGATTATGCCTTCGACCCTTCGAAGAACTATCGCGTTCGCCGTGGCAAAACTATTCAATTAGGCCACCCCTGAAACGCTCGAACACAAGCCTCCCTTACAACCTAGCGATAGCAGGTTTAGCGGTAGATTTACGATAGTAGAAATATCTTAAAATTTCATGTAACGAAAAAATCAAATAAACGTTTCATTCTTCTTGCCTTAATCATCGTTAATAAATCATAACAAATTATCAATAAATACTAAGTTAAATAATTATTTCTTATCATTAATTAGTAAATTGTTGTGTAGGTTGACTTAGATCTTGTATTAATATTCCTTAATCAGACATTAAATCTATCATTCCTAAAAAAAACACATGGTCACTTCAATAAAGAAACAGACATTCTTCAAATATATCGTGGATATCGCGTACCTGTCTATTCTGTATTTAATTATAATATTCAATTGAAACTTCGTTTTAATTATAATCTTCTATCAAACGTTTAATATTGTAACACAGAAAAACATTTTCCTTGCAGAGCCCTCCACATGAAAGAGCACCCAGACTACAAGTACCGGCCACGCAGGAAGCCGAAATCTTTAGTAAAGAAAGAGAACAAATTCGGTTTCTCGATATCACCCCTGATGTCCTCGGGTGAGACCTTAGGCAATATATCGAGAAGCCTCTTGCCACCTTTGGCACCACCATCGCACCACACGTTGATGAGCCACGAGGATCTCAAGATCCCCCGTTTCTTCCCGCCATTTCCATACCCCCTATATCCTATACAACACAAACTTGGAGAAGAGTTCAACGGTGGCAAATTGGCCGCAGATTTGGCGCTTCAAGCACTCTACGGAGGCAGCACCTTTTACTCGAGCCATCAAACCATGTCCTGGCCGGGATTATCAACAGCGACCTGTCTCCAACCCAATTGTGGCTGTCCAAGTCCACCTAAAGATCCAAAGAGGCCGTACTTGCCCACCAAATTAGAAGAAAGACCTTTTCCTAGTCCAGGTAAGCCAGAAGAGGATGGATTTCCTTCGGACAGAGACTCTAGCAGGGAAGAAGCTCGATATAGAAAACTTGAAGAAGATACGTACTTGTCTTCGGTCGACAGGCACCAGGAAGACAGGTCTCAAGATAGATTTTCTTCGTCTTCTTCTTCGTCACCTACCGATCAGACAGAAAAAGCTGTTAATAGTGTTCCAACGACGACGTCGACCGCAACGACAAAAGTGGAGAGCGCGTTTTCGGTTCAAAATCTGACGTCGTCCAGTTCAAATTTGGGAAGTCATCGCGGCCACGTCATATGAAGGCCGCTTCCGGTTCTCCCGGACCTAAACTTCCGGGGGAACCTGGTACCACCTGGATGGCCAAGCACTGACTGGTGGAGGGTACCACCGATGTTATCGCCCATTCCTCAGACCACGGTGACGAATTTAAACGTACCACCAAAGGACGACGAGGTTCAATTACAAGAAGAACAGAGAAACTCCGTGATGGCCAGATCGAGGGGCATTCATATTGGAAATGTACAGTGATCATTGATGCCCAGGGAGATGAATAGCTTCTAAAATGATTCGATTCAAAACTGTCGATCGAAGGTCCATAATCTGTTATGTAAACGATGACGAAAGAAAGTTATCAATTGTGTATATGATGTAAACGGGACTTTTCATTGGAAAAGTGACTCTTTTACGAATCGGAGATTTACATTTATAGAATCTTATACTCTCCTCCTTAGTTAAAATGTCTTATCTACCACCTTGAAACTGAAGAAAACTGAAGTTGAATGGTGTACTTTGTTCGATCTTTAGTTTTCTTCGTTCAATCGAAAATACTTAGTCACTATTTCTTAAGAGCATGTGTAATATAACATATTGTTAAAAGATAAAAACATATGGAAATACTAATTGGGTTCATATTTGAACCTAATTAATTGTTATGTAAATGCTATAATAAATACGATGACATGTAAATACCTTCCGTATCCGCTGCATATCTTCAAAAATACTAGATAGGATATTTTGACGAAGGAGGGCTGTATAGAAAAAGGTATGAAAGATGAACCACGAAGGTCGTCGATCGTTCGTAACCTGTTGCGTTGTGTGATAATTCCAACAGCCTACTTAACCTGTTTTTTACGATTGTATATATGATATCTCGTTGAGAGGAAATCCTAAAACCTGGTTGGAGACCTCGAGAAATACCACATCATCCCAGTGATGTTCCACAATGTCCACGAGTGATCTTACTCTTGGGAGTTGCAGCTTTTTCGCTAGGGAGACGGAACGAGTCGAACTTTTCGATGAGAATTCGTTATGCGACTCGACGGTGGATACCAAAGCCGAATCGATAACTCGCCACGGCCAAAATCCTACAAAGAGAGAAGCGAAAGGGTCCTTTCTGGCAAAGCGTGTACAGGGATGCCAGAGAAGAGTCCAATTTTGATGAGATAACCAACCCTCTCGGTGGCACATATTACCGCACACGCGAGCCCAAAGCGCCACGGGAGGACAGAAAAGAGCCCCCATACGAGCGAAGAGAGGTAGGAAAAAAATAAAACCCTCTTCGAGCAGAGGCAAATCTCTTCTTTAGGGCGCGGCCATGCGAAATAAGCCAAACATTCTGAATGCTAACGTAGATGCGACACAGCGGACCTGTATACGCGTTATACCACCCCCCCCCCCCCCCCCCCCCCCCCGCCCGCCCCCCCCGCGCCCGCCCCCCCCCCCCCCCCACCCCCCCCCACCCCCCCCCCCCCCCCCCCCCCCCCCCCCCCCCCCCACCCCCCCACACCCCCCCCCCCCCCCCCCCCTCACGCCCCCCCCCCCCCCCCCCCTCCCCCACCCCCCCCCCCCCCCCCCCCTCCTCCCCTCCCCCACCCCCC